TAGATAATATATGTCTGTCAATTCAGTGACCCCTAGACCCGAAACTGTAATTAGCATGCTCAATTCTGCTTCTGTAATCTGCTTTTTTTTGCAAGCCAGGTGCCTCATTCCAAACCCTGAGATGTAATCACAATACCTGTGATTTTTTGCCTATATAGTCCTGGAACTGTGACTAAATGGTTACTATGAGATTTGGGAATGACCCCTCATAGTCCGGATTGCAATAAACGTGACTCTTTAATTCGACTTCTTGAGGCGTCCTTCTGTGATTCACGGGGTACATTACAACATTTCGAGGCCCCAGCGAGATACAGCTCCCTAAGGGGTGCTGTTTCGCATGCAAAGGGAGGCAAAACCTCCCCTGAGCTGTTCCTGGAGACTGATGGGTCTCTAGGGGGTGCGCAACCTGAGAAGTTCCAGGGCCCTGGAGAACTCCCTTCGGATCCAGCGAACGGGCAGGGGACGTTGGCCCGTCCCTACAAAAATTCATCGGAGTCACCTGAAAAACCTCTAGAGGTAAGCTCTGGAATTCTGGGACCAGTCACTGGTGGTGGATTGTGAGAAGGGCTGGAAGCAGCCTAACTTCTCCTTCCTTGGTACCCCTGAGACGTCAGAGGGTACTTCTGGCCTTGTTTTTCTTGGTTTTTGGTTTTGGATTTGTTTGTTTGTTTGTTCGTTTGTGGTTGGTTTTTGGATTTAGATTTGTTTGTGAGCCTTCTTGGTTTTGTTTTTGTTTGTGAGTCCCATGTATTTGTAAGTCTGATGTGTTTAAGCTGTCGATTTTGTTGCTTCACTGAGATCCTCTTGGAGGACATTGAGTAGTTTCATCCAACCTCTTACTCAATTGAAGGATTAGATGAATGGATCACTGATCTAGCTTATCAGGATCTCTAAGGGACTTCACCCCAGACGAGGTGACTCTCTATTCCTTTTTCCTAATCTGTATTTTGTCACTCCCTGATTAAAGGTTCCATTCCACAGGTAACACAAGAAGTCTTCTCAGGGCCAGGGGCAGGCAACAGCTGCTTTAATTTTTTTCTGCGCGCTTGGCAGGCGGCGGCTAGGGGACGACAAACTCCTTCTTGCTCCACCCTTCCCTCCTGCGCCATAATTATGGGGAACAGATCCAGTTCTAAAAAGGGCCCATTGGGTTGCATGCTGAAGCATTTTAAGGAAGGGTTTCAGGAAGGGGCTGACTATGGTGTTAAGCTCTCAGCACGAAAATTTAGGACATTATGTGAGTCAAAATGGCCCGCCTTCGGTGTATGTTGGCCAGAAACAGGCTCTTTTGATCCCCAGTTGGTTCGAGCAGTCTGGGATGCTGTCACTGGGGATCCAGGGTATCCTGAGCAGTTCCCCTACATAGATCAATGGCTGGCCCTAGTCCGGAATCCCCCGTCCTGGTTTAAGGATTGTGCCTTGCAGATAGGGGCCCGAGTCTTGGTAGTAGGATCTAAGGCCGATTCTAAGAAAATCCAGAAACCTGAAAATCCTGCTCTGCCTCCCACCTCAGGGCCCATTGTTCTGCCTCCCCCTCCTGAAGAAGCAGACCTGCCTCCACCTTACAATCCTGCCCTTAAGCGCCCTACAGAAATGGCAGGAGAGGACACTCCCCTCTCGCCATCCCATACCCGGAGTGGTTCAGAGTATGGAAGCTCTGAAACACTCCCACGAGGGGGAGCTGCCGCCTCTGCCATCTTGCCCTTGAGAGAAACTCCGCGCCCTGGGGATGGGGAAATGGGAGGGCGCCCCTTCATGGTTTATGTCCCGTTCTCCATAAGCGACCTCTATAATTGGAAGGCACAGAATCCTCCGTTCTCTGAAAAGCCTCAAGCTTTAATTGACTTGCTTGAGACAGTTTTTTGTAGTCATCAGCCAACATGGGATGATTGCAATCAGCTTTTAAATACACTTTTTACCTCAGAAGAACGGGACCGGATTCGTTTAGAAGCCCGGAAGGTTGTTCTCGGGCCAGGAGGGGGGTCGCTTGAGGAAAACTGGGACCGGATTGAGGAAGCATTCCTCTCCCTTCGCCCCCGATGGGACCCCAATACCGATAGGGGCAGGACTTCTTTGGACAATTTTCGCCGCGTTCTCCTCGGGGGCTTAAAGGCAGCAGCTAGAAAACCCACAAATATTGCAAGAAGGAGGGACACTGGAAACGAGAATGCCCTAACAGATTAGCTAAGGAGAGGGACACACAAACTCCGCAGGTCTTAAATTTAGCAGAGGACTGACGCGGCCAGGGCTCCATTCCATTGAGCCCCCAGGAGCCCATGGTAACTTTGCAAGTGGGGGGCAAACCTGTTAGTTTCTTGGTAGACACTGGAGCAGCATATTCAGTCTTAACAGAGCCAATGGGACCCGTAACATCTAAGAAGTCTTCAGTCCAGGGAGCCACCGGACAAACTGCCCTTTTTCCTTGGACATCAAAAAGGACTGTGGACCTTGGAAAGAACACGGTAACTCACTTGTTTCTGGTCATGCCAGAATGCCCATACCCCTTACTTGGACGTGATCTCTTACAGAAATTAGAAGCCAGAATATCCTTCGAGGAGGAAAGAGCATACTTCACCGTGGATCCAAAGAAACCAGACCCAGACCCATCCTCCCCTGTCTGCATTCTTCTAACTTGTCCTCTCTCAGAGGAATATCTCTTGCAGGAAAAGGCCAAGGTGACGTCAGACAAGGGACCCGAGCCCACTTCATACTTGAGGGAATTAAAATGTCTTTTTCCCATGGTTTGGGCAGAGAACAACCCCCGGGGTTAGCAAGTCATCAAGCTCCTGTGATAGTACAACTGCAAGCCACCGCCACTCCAACTCGGGTAAGGCAATACCCCCTGAGTTTAGAAGCAAAAAAGGGAATTGCTAAACATATTTGCTGGCTTCGGGAAGCGGGGATTTTTATTCCCTGCCAATCTCCCTGGAATACCCGCTTGCTGCCAGTTTTAAAACCTGGGACTAAAGACTACAGGCCAGTACAAGACCTAAGGGAGGTGAACAAGAGGGTTGAGACCATACATCCCATGGTCCTGAACCCTTACACTCTGCTAAGTCTTCTGCCTCCAGAGAGACAATTATACACAGTCTTAGATTTCAAGGATGCCTTCTTCACCATACCCCTGGCCCCAGTTAGCCAGCCTATCTTTGCATTCGAGTGGAATGACCCAGGGGGTGGATTCTCAGGACAATTAACCTGGACTAGACAGCCTCAAGGTTTCAAAAACTCTCCCACCCTTTTTGGTGAAACCTTGAGCTCAAACCTACTTGCCTTTAGACAGGAGCATCCAGAATGTACCCTACTCCAGTATGTAGATGATCTTCTGCTGGCAGCAGCTACTGAGGAAAATTGGTGACAAGCCACTGAGGGCCTGTTAGGCACCTTACAAGCATTAGGCTACCGGGTGTCAGCCAAGAAGGCACAGTTGTGCTCCTCTGATGTCACATACCTGGGGTACAACATTAGCAAAGGCAGACGGACCCTCTCCCTCAGTCGAATAGAGGCAATCTTACGAATCCCCATGCCTACAACCAAGAAGCAGGTTAGGGAATTCTTAGGGGCAGTTGGATACTGCCACCTATGGATACCGGGGTTCGCGGAGATTGCTAAACCTTTATACTCAAGTACTGGGGGAACGCAGCCACTGAACTGGACTGAAGTGGAACAACGGGCTTTTGAGGAGCTAAAGAACGCTCTCATCTCAGCGCCTGCCCTAGCCTTGCCAGCCGTCACGAAGCCCTTCCACCTCTACGTGAGTGAGGTAAGGGGCATTGCCAAAGGGGTTCTCACCCAGACTCTAGGTCCCTGGAAGAGACCTGTGGCCTATCTGTCTAAGAGACTAGACCCTGTGGCGGCAGGGTGGCCAGCGGGCCTCTGGGGAGTGGCCGCCACAGCATTGCCAGTAAAGGAGGCAGATAAGCTGACTTTGGGCCAGGAACTAGCCCTGACAACACCCCATGCTGTGGAAGCCCTCCTTCGAGGTGCTCCGGAGAGATGGATGTCAAACACCAGGGTGACCCAGTACCAAGCTCTTCTCCTGGACCAGCCCCACATCCGATTCCATAAGACACTGACCATCAACCCTGTCAGCCTGCTCCCAGATGATCCAGATGAGCCCATCCATGACTGTATAGAGGTAACGGATGCAGTACAGACAGCCTGGCCAGATCTGACAGATGTCCCGCTATCATCACCAGATGAGGTACTGTTCACGGATGGGAGCAGTTATGTTCAGGATGGGATCCAATATGCAGGGGCAGCTGTAGTCACCCTGAACCGTACCATTTGGGCACAGTCCCTGAATAGGGGAACCTCAGCGCAGAAAGCCGAACTTTTGGCCTTAATCCAGGCCCTTCGGTGGGGAAAGGGAAGAGCAATCACTGTTTATACCGATAGCCTGTATGCCTTTGCCACAGCGCACGTACTCAGTGCCATCTACTGGAAAAGAGGGTTACTAACTTCGGCAGGAAAGGACATTAAAAATAAGGAAGAGATTTTAGCCCTATTAGAGGCCATCTGGCTCCCAAGGGCAGTTGCAATAGTGCACTGCAAAGGACATCAGAAAGGGGAAACAGTTGAAGCCAGAGGAAATAGAGCTGCAGACCAAGCTGCTAAGGAAGTTGCCTTAAAACCAGTGGGGCCTTTACACGTCTTAGTAACCCTGCCAGATCCCGACCTACCACAGACCCCCTCCTACACTAAACAAGATGAGGAATTGGCAGAACGAAAGCAAGCCATCAAAGGACCAGATGGCTGGTGGACTCTACCGGATGACAGACTGTTGGTCCCAGAGGCTCTAGGTTGGACGTCAGCTGCCCAGTTGCACCAGGCTACCCACCTAGGCGTCTCCAAGACTTCTGAACTTCTGCGAGGCAGATATTACATACCAAGCTTAGATGAGATGATTAAAAGCATAGTCACTAGATGTACTGTTTGTACACAGGTAAATGCTAAGCAAGGTAAGAGGGGCGCCCTGGGAATTCAGGCCAGGGGAAACTCCCCGGGAGAATATTGGGAGGTAGATTTCACAGAGATCAAGCCACCAGCATCAGGATACAAGTACCTGCTAGTTTTTGTAGACACCTTCTCCGGTTGGGTAGAAGCATACCCCACTAGAACAGGAACTGCCTCCGTAGTAGTTAAGAAATTACTCCAGGAGATTATACCCAGATTTGGGCTACCAGTGACCATAGGGTCAGATAATGGCCCCACTTTTATAGCAAAAATATCTCAGAGTATAGCACAAATTTTAGGTATAAACTGTAAACTTCATTGTGCATACCGCCCACAAAGTTCAGGACAGGTAGAATGTATGAACAGAACTCTAAAAAAACTCTGACTAAATTTGTCCTAGAAACCGGCGAGAATTGGACCAGCCTCCTGCCCTTCGCCCTCTTATGGGCCAGATGTACCCCCTATAAGGAGGGGTTCTCTCCCTTTGAAATTATGTTTGGTAGACCTCCCTCTATCTTACCCAAAATTGGGGAATAATTAAAAGCTGAAATTTATAACCATTCCTTGCTTAAGTCCCTGCAGGCTCTACAGCATATCCAGAAAGCTACCCATAAACTTGTTCGAGACGCCCTGCCAGTGCCCACCTCAGACCCTGCACATCCCTTTCAGCCTGGGGACTCCGTGTGGGTAAAGAAGTTCACTGTCCAAGGACTCACCCCAACTTGGAAGGGACCTTACACTGTCATCCTGACTACACCCACAGCTATCAAGGTTGATGGCATCCAGACCTGGCTACAACACTCTCAGCTGAAGGCTGCAGGAGAAGAATGGACCGCCGACACCACCTCAGACCCCTTAAAGATAAGACTCTCTCGGGTATCAAGGTCCTAATCTTTTTTCTGTTCTGTATAAATGGGAATCCCCATAAACCAATACTATGGTACTGGGAACTCCGAAAAGGGGTCACGGGGCACGTAATCGCCCATACTACTGTAGAGGAAAGACAACAAGCAGTCTTTGTCCTTGATCTATGTTCTTTGATAGTAGTAAGGACCCCCCCCAGACCTGTCCCCTTTAGGCCGCCGGGGGTTAGGGGGGCTTCAAGCAAGTTGTGGCATGGTAGGCCAAGAGAGGAGATTGCAGACAATGGGAGTCTACATCTGCCCTGGCTCCGGGGAGGTTGAGGCCAAATGCCAGGATTCAAGGCAATTTTACTGCCCCTCCTGGGGATGTGAGACTATCTCTACCATCTCAGGACATGAGAAAAATAGTGACCCCCATATAAGCTTCCAGAAATATTTTTATCGATCTCAGAGAGGGAGAGAGAGTCCCTTGTAAAATAACAGAATGTAACCCAGTAGAAATAAAAGTTATCAGCAAAGGAGATTTCTATTGGTCAACAGGAAGGACCTTGGGAAAGAATCTATACCTATAGTGTAGACCCAGGAGCTCTCTTCACAATCCAGAGGAGGGCCAAACCAGAGCCTGAGAAACCTACAGATCCGCCCTCAGCCCTGGCCCTGCCCATACCTGTTAAACCACCCCAGGCCTTGCCCAATTCTCCTGATCCCCCCAGAGAAACTAGGGCAAGGACCTCACTTTTACTTCACAGCCCTTCTGAGGAATCTTCCCTTTTGAAGATGTTGGGAACTGTGCATCAGTTCATTAATACCTCACAGCCTATGGTTGGGAGGGACTGTTGGTTATGTTTAGACCCCAGACCACCCTATTATGTAGGTGTGGGAATTTCCCAGGATATCCCCCAGTTCCAGGGAACGAGTAATTGTTCTTGGGATCAGCCTAGGCTAACCTTGGGGGATCTTCAAGGACAAGATACCTGTCTGCTCTCACCAAACTTTCCCCTTCAACGATCCCCTTATGCAGACTCATGTAATCAAACCCATTGGGGAAATAGTAGCTTCACTACCTATTACCAAGTGCCTGAACAGACCTGGTTAGCTTGCACAAATGGCTTAACCAAGTGTGCCTCCTCAGACCTATTCAAGAAAGGGGAGGACCCCCTCCTCTGTGTCCTGGTTTATATCCTCCCACAGATTTTCATATACAACAGGAAAGAAGGAAGAGCCCACATGTACTCAGGCCTTTCATCAAACCGATACAAAAGGGCTCCTGTCTTGGTTCCCCTCCTAATAAGCCTGGGTATTGCAGGATCAACTGCTATTGGAGCCTCGGCTCTAATAAAAGAGGATATGAATCTGAGGGAACTAAGTAAGCAGGTAGATATGGACATAAGACACCTTGAAAGTTCCATCTCCCGTCTAGAGAAGCAAGTAGACTCCTTAGCTGAGGTAGTATTACAGAATAGACGAGGATTGGACCTTCTCTTCATGAAACAAGGAGGCTTATGCATGGCTCTTGGGGAAACTTGCTGTTTTTATGCCAATAATTCAGGAATAATCCGAGACAGTTTGGCCTTAGTGAGAAGAAACTTAGAAGAGAGAGAAAGAAAAAGAGAATAATCAGAAACATGGTTCCAACGTATGTTTAATTGGTCCCCCTGGTTAACTACCCTCTTGTTTGCATTAGCAGGGCCTCTGGCCCTACTGATCTTAGCTTTAACCATTGGACCTTGCCTAGTAAACTGCCTCCTAAGAACCATACAGAAAAGAATCAATTCTGTAAAATTACTGGTCGTTAAAGAACACTGCAAACCTCTCACTAATGAAGATGAGTCCATGATTTGACTCATGTACATAAAACCAGTGGGGAATGAAGTATGGTACCTATTTGCTTTGTTTAACAATGGATAGGTTTCTTTGATTTTCTAAATTGTAAAAATCATCCCATTCGATTGAATGCCTTATCGATTGAATGACTATTCCATTGATTGTTATCATACTGGTCTTAGAGAGCACATTCTTCTGTACCTGGGAAACAGGACAGCACAATTACCCTAAATTGTTTTAGTGGCCACAGGTGGTGCGTTCCAGCTGACTCAGTGGTCCCGAGACCAGGACAGCACAGTTACTCTAAATTGTCCTGACAACTCAGTGGTCGGGAGACCCGAGGGCTCTAGATAACGTGTTTCTATCAACTCAGTGATCTGGAGACCCAAAACTGTAATTTAGATAACATGTCTAAGTTTAATCCAGATTACCCAAGGGCTCTAGATAATGTATTTCTGTCAATTCAGTGGCCCCGAGAACTGA